GGGGGGTGGGGAATGGTTCTCCATGAGGCACATATGTAGGTCTAACGGTGTTGAGAAAGTTTTTAAATGTTTGGGAAAAGAGCAAACAGTTTAATTCCCTCGTAGTTCCTGTTAGCTTTTGCAAACCCAGCAGTATATAATAGACTGGCAGGCAAATAGATATTGAAAGAAAACCAAAATAGCCATCGGTATGTCTATATATGTGTATATGTGTTTGTGTATGTAACTGTACTTTGCGTAAAAGTGCAAAAGCATGTCTTCCAGTATTTAGTTTCTTTAGTAGTTTTTTTACTGTTTAACATTAACAAAGCACGTTGCAGTTACAAACCAGAATTTCCTAATAGTTTTCTTAATTGTTTAGCATATTGTTATCCATTGCATTCTTTATTGCTGCTTTTCTTCCTTCAGTGTTGGGACAATGCCGCAATAGCACTGAGCCAAAGAAACTACCAACTACTGAAGAGGAGCAAATATACCCTTGGGATACCTGTGCAGCACTGCATGATGTGAGGCTTACAACTCTACAGCGATACTTTAAAGATGTAAGTATTTCCTATGAACAATACTACCACTTATGAAAAATTTGAGTGAAAAGGTAAATGAAATTACAACTTAGAGCCTTCCTAGTTTCGTTTCTACATTTAGTGGACACTTTGTCATGTTGCAGTAGTTATGAAGTGATTATATTTTGATAGAGTTTTTATTTTTAAATAGCGCCTCTAGTTATATTTTTGGCATAGGCATCTAGTATATCTACAGGCTATATAGTCATTAAATATCCATGTAGATATTCTCTAGAAGAAGATATTTCACAGTTCTGTGTGACCACACAATTGAGATGTGGTTTTGTTGTCTTAGGTATTACTTACAAAACTCCAGTTCTCTCGTGGTTATTCAGAGAATCGGATCAAGGAATTAATCAGTTGAAAGTATTTTTGGCAGCACAGTGTAAGTGGAAGGACTTGTTTTAACCTGTAACAGTTTTCTGAGCCACTACAGAGAAGGGGAGGATGAGTGGATGGGAAGGAGGGTCCAGCAGAAGACTTCACCCTCTTCTGCTGAATCCTCAACTCTGCACAGCATTACTGAAGTTCAGTTTTACATTAATTGGTATGTTATGGTCTGTTTTGCAGTTCCATTAGTTGTTCCAAGCAGTTCTACATTGCTTCTCAAGGCCACAATGCAGCTTTTCATATCTAATTTGAGAGCCAATTCTTGTTCCATAACAAGACGTGTTCAGTTGTAGACCTCTGTGGAAGTGCTGCCTGTGGCTTTCCTTGCTAGTGTATGTAGCAACCATGTAAGATAATATATAACTGTTCTCCTCCAGAACGATTTCTCAGAAGAGTATATGGCCCTAAATTAGCTCCTGTAGACTAGTCTCAATGACATACTAGTTCTTAGACAAATCTAGCTAAATAATCAGCCTTTAGAAGCTTAAATATTGGCTTTAAAGAGAAAAAACTATGGCAATTTACTCTGACACAATTGCTAGCTTTCTCGTAATCTGTCATCCACAGATAATGGAAATTTGCCACCTGTAACCAGGCTTTTTTATGTAGAGTAGGTTAATTTAGAGTAAATTTTGTAATTGTTTTGATATAGTTTTAAAAATTGGGCAATGTTTTCAGAAAAGTACCTTCTCCTGAGGCAAATATTACACATTTCCTTGCTAGAAAGTAAAACTTTTAAAGATGTGAGCAGGAAATTATTTCTGAACCAAAGATTTTTTTTTTAGTTCAGAAAGAATCTGTGGACAAGCTTTTCTTCTTTTGGCATTGATGATGTTTGTTTATTGTTTCAAATATTTAATGTATTTTCTTTCCTACTGAAGTGATAAAAAAAACATTGAACCAGTACTGTAGCTTTATTTTTGCACATCTGCATACTACAAACAGAAGGAGTTCCAAGCAAAATATTACTCAAAAACTTGATCTCACTGAAGCGTGTAGTTCCTTTTCTGTGCAGGAACACTACCAACAGGTTAGTCTAAAATACACTGTAATGCAATGAGCAAGTGTATCCCACTTTCAAAAATTCCAGTCCTGATTCAAACATTAGTTGAATTATCTGGTTTTGTTTTCAAGTTTCCAGATCACTACTGTGCCAAAAAAACATCTCTGCATGAAAGAACTAATCCTTAAATTTCTTTTGGCATAAAAATGGAAGCATCCATTAGTGTCTTGAGTGTCTTGTTCAGCTGAGCTAAGCAATAAGAAGTCCTTTTGTTTATCATCTGTGTCCTTCCCAATCTAACAACAGATTTCAGGAGGCAAATGAATAATTTCTATTAGATGTGAAAATTTTGAGTTATGAAACTTGATCTAGCTTATTCTACTGGGAGGAAAAAAAAATTCAAAAGCTACGTGCTGTATACAGATTGGGCAAAAGAGGCCAATTCTTTCTATGGAGATTACTTTTGTGCTTTCTGAGCTGAAATTTCATGCTTGGTGTCAGTCAGGGAGTAGAATTCTTGCCCATTAAAGGAAAAATGATTGACAGTGGTTATTTTTAATATGGTGAGGCATGACTAAGGATTAGGAGAAAAAATTTCATGTACTAGATTGATAGAACTGTTTTCAGAATCACATAGTACTCTGGAACCAATAACCTGACGTAGGTGTGCTCCATCCCAAGCGTATGACTTGCTTTGGCAACTCCTTTATTTCTGAACTCGAGTAATAAGAGTAAAGCCTTTCTGCAAAGACTTTGGGGTGGTTTATTTTTTTTTGCAACTGCTACTAAGTAGCCTCGTTAAATACATGCAATAAATGCTTTTACTGAATTAAACAGTTGTCCTGTGGGCCTGTGAGAAACTCATGAAGATCAACAAGGCCAAGTGCAAGGTCCTGCATGTGGGTCGAGGCAAACCCAAGCACAAGTACAGGCTGGGCAGAGAATGGATCGAGAGCAGCCCTGAGGAAAAGGACTTGGGAATGCTGATGGATGAGAAGCTCAACATGAGCCAGCAATGTGCACTGGCAGCCCAGAAAGCCAACCGTATCCTGGGCTGTATCAAAAGGAGCGTGGCCAGCAGGTCGAGGGAGGTGATTCTGCCCCTCTACTCTGCTTTCGTGAGACCCCACCTGGAATACCGCGTTCAGCTCTGGAGTCCCCAACACAAGAAGGACACAGAGCTGCTGGAGCGGGTCCAGAGGAGGGCCATGAAGATGATCTGAGGGCTGGAGCACCTCTCCTATGAAGACAGGCTGAGAGAGTTGGGGCTGGAGCCTGGAGAAGAGAAGGCTCCAGGGTGATCTTATTGCAGCCTTCCAGTACTTAAAGGGGGCCTACAGGAAAGCTGGAGAGGGACTTTTTACAAGGGCGTGTAGTGATAGGACAAGGAGCAATGGCTTTAAACTGAAAGAGGGGAGATTGAGATTGGATATAAGGAAGAAATTCTTCCCTCTGAGGGTGGTGAGGTACTGGAACAGGTTGCCCAGAGAAGCTGTGGATGCCCCATCCCTGGCAGTGTTCAAGGCCAGGTTGGATGAGACTTTGGGCAACCTGGTGTAGTGGAGGGGTTCCCTGCCCATGGCATGGGGATTGGAACTGGATGATCTTTGAGGTCCCTTCCAACCCTAACGGTTCTATGATTCGACGATTATCCAGGTATATCATATGACCTTACTAATTGGGCAGTATTCTTCCCTCTGAGGGTGGTGAGGTACTGCACTGCACAATTGTGCAGTGACCAGCAGGAGAAAGTTTCTCTTGTTCTGTGGTCTGAGAGAGTCATAGCACATTATGAATGGCTGAGGCAAGATAAATAGAAGTATGTCTTGTAGCTAGAATTTGTAATTTTGTTGTGATTTCCTGCTCATATGCAGGAAGAAAAATGAGATGCTAGGACATCCTTAGAAAATGCAACTATCAGAGTTGGTTATTCAGAGTATCCTGGTTTTGCATCATACATTAAGACCATTGTAGGGTGAGTGTACACATAGAATTGTTTTCCAGTTCTGGTAGCCATAAATATTTTTTGGTTCTTTAAATATATGACCAGAATGTACATTTCAATCTATGTATGAAATTATTTTTTGAGACATGGAAATTTAATAATTAGACTGACGATAGCAAGGTATTCTGCAAGAGAATTTTCTAGAATTCCTTATAAGTTTGCCTTGACTGTTTTTTCAGTTCATTATTTTCTGAGAACTACCAGTGAGGTAACTTCATTTTTGACATGTGAGCTGTAAGTGCACTCTTTGAATAAGGCCAATGTTTTCAAAACAATCCTAGTATAAAACTCAGTTCGTTAAACAAGTATTTGTTCTCTTTTCCCTTCATGAGGTGCTATAGTTCAACACCACATTAAAAGTCCTAATTGTTTACACTGAATTTTACTAACAGATTGGGCTTTAGTTATGTAACTGTGATCTCGTTGTTTTGGTTACATAGAAAGCTGAATGAAATGTATCAGAGCAGTATATTGCCTGTGTGCGTGGGATAGCTTGTACTGTTGGAACAGATGGTAGAGTTAGAGCTGTCTTCATGCTATAATAGAAGTTCTTTAAAGAAGTCACTGTCTTCAGTGACAAGAACTGCAGAAGCTTAACTTAAGTGTTTGGCTTTTTGTTGGAAAGAATAGCATAATGGCAACTGTGTAAGTTAGCATAAGTAAACATTTTATAAAATAAAATTTTTCTTTATTTCGACAGCATTTGTCCTTTAATCAGACAGCGTGTAAATAAAAATCTGTGTCTTTTTTACATCTTGAAATAAGTTGTGGTAAATACCTTTATAACTTTTTATACATTGTTTTTCTTTTTTCTTACTATTTTTCCTTTGTTTTAGAGTTCCTGCCTGCAAGCAGTGTCAATAGGCTGGGAAGGAGGTGTTTATGTACAAACTTGTGGTCATACTTTACACATAGATTGTCACAAATCTTACATGGAATCTTTACGGGTAAGTAAAATTAAAGATCATCTTTTTTTATTTATATCTGAACTGTTGGTAATGAAATCAATTGGATTTATGCTGTTCAGAGAAAGAAAGATTGGGCTTGCACAAATGGGTGAATGAAGATGTTTTTACTGTGTTTCAAGGACTGTAGATACTAAATCTCATATTACGTTATTATTAACAAATGTTAATAAAAAAATTAAAAGTTTTCAGTTATTCTGATGTATCAGGAGAATACTTGGTTAAATTAACCCTGTTTTTTAAAAAATTAAATCACTGGGTTTCGATGTTTTTTTTCTGGTGTGCGTATTCAGGTAAAGCATTTATTACACTTTAATTTCTGTTTTCTATTTTGATGTTTAATGTGTGTTAGAAATTACAGAGAAACTGAAGAAAAAATGAGGGGAATTTTATGAATATAAATTTGTGCTTTTGGTTAATTCATAATACGAAAATTCAGTTACAAATAGATTTTTATCTCTAGTTATGTGTGTGTATATATATATGCAGTTTAGAGAGATGAGTTAAAATAGTTTAACTCTTGTGACTTATGCTTTGGTGGTTTTTTTTCCCCTCGCCTTGGAAAATACTTTTGGGAAATTACTGCTATATATGCTTTTAAAATACAGTTTTAGTCAAGCCTCAAAAACTGTTGGCTAGGAAAGACATCCATTTATTTTCACACGGTTTGAGTAAACAGGGTAGTGTTTCAGTTATGTTGCTGGCCTCCTTCACCCTTCTCAGCCTTTTGCAGCCCAATTGCAGATCTTCTGAAAGGCACTGTAGAATGTTATCACAAGATCAGCAGTGGTGCAAGTCATCAGATTTTAAGCAATCATTTCTTTCTGTATTGTTTAGTGTAATAAAGACTAAATGATGACCCCTTGTTGCATATGGAACTGCTTTTTTATTCAAGATTACTTTATGTAGCATTTCTTTTTAGTTTTATTTTTATTGTTGATTATAGAGTTTTGTTGACTTGTTTCCATTTTGAGAAAACTATGAGCAATGCTTTGTATTTTTAGTATCAGCATTGGTCATACTGTGAAACTTACCTCTAGACAAATTGGAAGCTGTTCCACTTTTGTTGGGTCCCATGATAAATTGTTCTTTTCCATATGACCGTAAAGATACTTTCAGGGGTAATTGTGTCATGAAGATAATTAAGTAAAATCTGAACTTTCATGCTAGAATCTCATTTTACAGAATTTTGGAAGAGTACTCTTTTTGCATCATATAGACACTGAAATGCCTTTTCTGGTGAATTCTCAAATTTGAAATAAACTTCATTGTATTCTTGAAGATTTCTAGATTGTTTTAGTGAACTTTTGATCCTAGCGTCTATTACTACTATCTTGATGAGTGCATAATAGTTTTGACTATTCCTTGCTTCCTTAGTACTGAAATAATTTATATAGGCTTGTGTTCATCTGGATAAACATTTATTTTTACATAATACAGTCAGAAATCAACATCCAGAAAGGTATGTAAAAACCTCAGCATTCTGGGCTGATTGCTTGAAGTTTAAATTATAGTCACTATTAACTTAGCAGTTCTCTTCTCCCAGGGTTGGGAAACGGTTCAGGCAATTCACAAAGGAAGCAAGGTTGCTTGCCAGTACTGCTTTTTCCATTTTTGATCCTTCATGATAGAGAAGAAATAATCAGGGTTTTTGCAATGCTGCCCTCTAATGGCTATTTGATTAGTTTTTTTCAGCCTGTACTGCTGAGAAATATCTTCAGATATTTCTTGTGACTGAAAATAAAATTGCCTTTTGATAAATTAAAAGATCTTATCAAGAGACTCTTAAACTTTATGGGAATTGCTAGAAAAAGACAACATGTGAAATGTTCAGAACACCCCATTGAAGTATTTCTAGTTTATCATGAGAATATTGTTGACAATGAAGAGTACTTAAAAAATTACGAAAATTAATTGAGTTGGAGGATTGTAAGACAGTCTGTAATAAAGACCTTTTTCACTAAAATGAGGAGCTATTCCAATTATTCTTTCTTTAATTTTGATTTTAGACTTATTTTTTTAGCTATGCACCTGAAATATCAAACTAAAAAATTATAATCTTTTGCAAATTTCTGCTACGTATTCTTTATTTTCTTTTAGAATGACCAGGTCCTCCAGGGTTTTTCAGTGGACAAAGGAGAATTTACCTGTCCCCTCTGTAGGCAGTTTGCTAACAGTGTTCTTCCTTGTTATCCTGGAAACAACATGGAAAGAAGTCTTTGGCAAAGTCACAGTAACAAGTGTATGCAAGATCTTGTACAAGAGGTGGAAGATCTTCAAGAACAGCTGGGAACTTTCCCAGTAAGCATCAGTGTAAGGCAGAAAGATCCTTGTTAATTTGCCTCTACCTTTCAGTTTTTACATTATGTTGCATTTGTGACCTCTTAGAAACTTGACAACCTGGGAAACATCATTTTCTTCTGCTATGGAAGATACCATAATATTTTTTTAAAATATCAGGAGATTTAAAATATTTACAGCACTTATTGCATTACTTACTAAGCAATAAGTGCTGTAAATAAATAAACAATTAACAAGCTATGACAAAATGTGATTAATATAACTTTTTATGGAGTACGTTTTCACTTCCCTCCATAGTAATTTACATAGAATTGAGTCATGTAATATTGATTTCATTTATCATGTCTTTACAATGTATAAACACCAATATCCTTGTAACTGGAAGCTATTTAAAGAATCCATACCTTAAAATGTTCTTAATAGACATTATTTGTTTTACAGAAAGAGCAGTTTGCAGATGCTCATGTATTACAAAGCTTCTTGAGGTTTTTCTTAATGATAAAATTAATTCTATTAAATTTTCTACCCTTCCAGTCTTGATGTGAGATACTTTGTGTTATTTTCATGTACTACTGCAATGCAAATATACTTTAAAATAACACAAGCAGTGAGATTCTTGTACTTGGGAGGTGGACAAAACAGTGATGTTTTCATATTCAGAACAAATCAGAACAACTTTCAGAATATCGTTACAATTCTGAGAGACAGAATATTGGCTTTTAATGCGTATTTTTTCATAACCTGCAAATGTGTTTTTATAAATATGAAAGTGCTACGCTTTACGATCAGCTATTGCATTTCTTCAGGTAAAATTAACTAATCTTCTTTTGTGTCTTTGTTCATAGTCTGAAACTAATCTCAGTAAAGAAATGGAATCTGTAATGAAGGATATAAAAAGTACCACACAGAAAAAGTATACAGATTATAGTAAAAGTCCTGGATCACCTGACAATGATTTTCTGTTTATGTATTCAGTAGCCAGGTAAGTTCTTTTTAATTTTTTAGTTTTGCATTTCTCACTAATGGTATTACTCACCAGATTAGTATTCTTTTAAATTAAAAAAAAATAAATATTCCATTCTCTCCAAAAGTACTTTTTGAGGTCTTAATACATCAAGGTTAAATTTGATTTTCATATGCAGGCATATGCAAGATGGAAAGATGTGCCTCAGTTCATTTTTCATATATACAGCAGTGGCACAAAACCTGGAGAACCTTTTGTCTTATGCTTATTTAGTTTTCTTTTTCTACCTTCCTTTTCCAAACTCTCAAATCTCCTCTATTGCTATTTAGCAGAATGAGATAGTTTTGTGTCACTGCCGTATTGCTGGTTTTTAAATCACAGAGTGTTTTTAATCTCTCCATCAGACATTGGTTTTATTTACTTAAATGGGGATTGCAGGAGGAGCCTTTTCTACATTAGCTACCAGGAATCTCTTCATGTGATGAACAAAACTTCTAAAACAGTGTCAAAACTACCAGCATTTATCTGTGATGTTTGATTCCAGTTTTATAGCTGTCATTGTCACAGACGCTGTATTCAAGAAAATCAAACAGTCCCTCCTTCCATCTATACCATTAACGTTAAGATGCTCTGGATAGTTAATCTGCTCAGATTTACTTAATCATAGAATCATAGAATGGTTTGGGTTGGAAGGGACCTCAAAGATAATCTAGTTCCAACCCCTCTGCCATGGGCAGGGACACCCACCCACCACACCAGGTTACTCAAAGCCTCATCCAACCTGGCCTTGAACACTTCCAGGGATGGGGCATCCGCAACATCTCTGGGCAACCTGTTTCAGTGCTCCACCCTCATTGTGAAAAATGCAGGGTTTTCTCATAAGAAGAAGTTGAAATAGTCACTAAGCAAATAATTTTTTAAACTCTGACTTACTGAGGCCTGCAGGGAAGGTGCTGAATGCAGAGAAAGTGCAAGCACACAAGTGATACCATTCAATAGTATTTTTTACTTCAGTTTCATAAACTCCAGTTGCTGAGTATCTTTATAGTGTGTAAGCAGTGGAAATATTCAAGACTTGGCACAGCAGGACTCTGGGTAATCAAATCCAAGGCTCAGCTTTTGACAGAAGGTTGGACCATCTGATCTCAGGAATTCTCTTCCAACCTAGATTATTGACTAATTCTATTAAAAGAAATATCTGTATTGTTTAAGAGTATCTTAGCTGTGCCTTGATTAAGAAGAGCAATTAAATTTTATCATAGCAAGTTAAAAGATTATTCTGTGTTAAGTGGTGTATGCTATATGAGGATAAATAACGCTGAGGTTTTTAGCAATGATGTGTTTACTGTTTAATATCCTTCCAAAAATACAAAGGACTCAAAATTAATGTTTCCTATATAAAATTATGATTAGTTGTAACCATAACTTGATATGACATTTAGGGAACAAAAATGGTGTTATAATATATTTCTGAATATAATATTACATACTTTTTAAAATACTAACTAAAAACATTTTAAATGTATCTGTATTTTATTATTTTTATATTAACACTCTAAGCCCAAAATTTTTGTTTTCATTCCAAGAATTAAAAATACCTCAAACTAGAACAGAATTTCATTGCTGCTCGCACTGCTGGAGAGAGAAATCATGGCTGACCACTGAGATTAGGGTATGCCACCTGTACTCATTGTGACCTCTTCTTGTTAGGTTAGACTGATGTCAGCAGTTTTCCATTTATCCATGACTGAAATATTTCAGGTGTTGGGATGCAGCTTTCTGTATTCTTACCATGACTCATAAGGTCGTTTATGAGGGTGCCTGGCAGATCAGCTACAAAATAGTGAATTTCTCTTGCCTTTCAATTCAGCAATCCAGATTTACAGGCCTCTACTACTTGATAGTTGTAGAACTACTACAGACTAAAAAAAATTAAACTTCAAAAAAGACATTTTAATGTAACCTCACAGTTTGTGTTTATGGAAATAAATATGTAAATGAGCTGGTCATCTCCTAGACTGAAAGAGTTTTCTTTGTATGGTTTTAGTATGTTTTGTTTAATTTTAAGTATCCAAACAATGGACTATCCACAATTTAAATTACAGACAGAAGTAACTTGCTTCTGGAAGTTATTCCTGTCCTTCAGTCTGTTTCTTCCTTGTTTCCATCCAATTCTTTTTGAGGTGATGATATCCTTGTGTTCCTTACCAACCAGTTACCTTTGAGCATTTCTAATTGCATGTATTCTGAAACATTTCATTGTTGTTGGTCAGACCATCTACAGCTGTTACGAATTTCTTCCTGGTATTTAATTTAACATACAGATAAAGTGGTCAAGATGGTAAATAGCCCCTGTTTAAATAAGCATTTGAATGCAATGGTATTTTTATTGACTCCATGTGTTTGCAAGTGAATCAAACACTCTTAATCTTCTTATAAGTCATGTTCCATTTTCAATCAGAAAATTACATCATCTGCAGTTATCTTAAAAGATGCTAGTTTACAGCTGGAGGCCAGCTTTGAAGTGGATTTCTGCGTTCTGGAATGGGAATACTACTGGTTAAACAAGATGTAGCCACTTGCCACAGCTTATCCTTTCTGCTTCAGGAAGACGAGAACTTATTTTTACTTCACTTTTGCTTACCCAGACAGATGTCACTGGTAGCAGAGGAAAGAAATTAACAATCAAATTCTCTACCACCTAGTGGGAGAGCTAGCCCCTAGCAAAAGAGGCACTCAGAGTCTTGGCATCCTGATTTACATGCATAGCTGGAAGAGCAGCGCCTTAGCTACCTCCTCCTTTCCCTGCAGTCTTACCTTGTTAAATTTATGCCCTTTTTGTATGCATCCCTCCTTGTCTTTGCTGACATTTCAGATGACTGTAGTATGTCATTCCCAACTCGTGTACCTAGCTTTAATTTTTAGCTCCACATTTATAGCGTTGATGACTGTCGTTTGTGGCAGTATCTTGGAGGGCTCTTTCTGTATTGCATAGCAATCATAGAATGGCGTAGGCTGGAAGGGACCTTGGACATCATCTAATCCTGCTTTTGTTGACTGTAAACAAAGCATTTGGTTTTGCTGTCAGCTATGTGTAGACTAATATAAAAAACTTGTGTTCTTTCCTTCCAGTCTGTGTCTCAGTACCTGTTTTTTTTCATATGTATGTTGTCTCTGTAAAGTGAAGTGGAAAAAACAGTAGTGCTTAACTTGATTCTTCTGGCCTAAATGGAACAGGAGGTCCATCCAAATATGTTGTCTTTCTGGAAAGGGCACTGCATTTTTACTTCTCTCTACTCTGTCCCAATATGAATTCTGAGAAATACACAATCACCCTCCCCACCCCCAGTATGTTCCTTTAGGGAAAGCCCATAAGAAGGGGTGTTGTAGGGCTCTTAATCAGGAGTCTGTACAGATGAGCAAAATCTATCTTCTCAGTTTTTTTTCTGTGAGTGAGGAAGATAAAAACAGTGTTCTACAAAATTTGTTGCTCCAATGAATGATGCAAAGATTTCTAGATAGAGAAAACAGTCACTTATATAGATTTTCTTTCTTCTTCTCTTTCCTTCATGTTGAGAGAGCTGAGATCGCAAAGGATGCTTTCAGAGACCGCTCTATGTTCCACTCTTCTATCAGATGCCCCAAGTTTTTCTTCACTGATGAGAGAATAGGCACTGAGAGCTCTGCTTTTCTTCAGTAGAGGGCAGATGGTACTCATCCTCAAGGTAGAAGGGAGCTTGAATTAGGGAGGAGTCATACTAGTCTCTTTCATAAATGATTTAGGGCTATACCTGATGTAGAACATTTTATAAAGGAGCAGTGTTCAGTTTCACAGAAGATGCTTTCTCTACTGTGCACTTTTATGCCCAAGTTTAGGTATGTTTTGAAAGAGAGCTCTTATAGGAAAAGGCTAATATTTACGTTTCCAAGAAAGCTGAACTATAAGCTGCTATCTTTGAGGAGCAGTGGGCAATGAAGTGTGGGAGGCGAGAGTTGGTATGATGTGTGTGATGGAGCCTATGTTTCCAGAAATCCCTCTCCTTACATTCCTGATAGCAAAAAGTACTATATAACATCTCGTACGTATCAAGAAGAGTTTTTTCAGAATTGTCCCTGAGGATTGTTCTGTAAAATTGGACGTACTTCTTGGTGAAAGAGAAATCTAGAATTCTAGATCTAGAAAGTTGTTCTTAGACGTAAAGGTAGTGTTTTTGATTTAAATCTTAATTATCTTGGCTTTAATGGAAGCTGTCATTAATTTCGTTCTACAAATTAGTTATCAGAAGGTTCGTAGAAATAAAAGATACTGGTTTCCTTTATATTCCCGTAATGAACTAGCACATTCTGATCCACAGTTGCTGTTTTGTTCACTAATATAAAATCCCTGCCCTGCTTCCTTGCTGGTAGATTTTTAGAAGTTCAGTGAGCACTGCAAATCGCCTGAAGAGTGGAAAATTCCCCTGTCACTCGGATGCCCTTATCAGCAGCAACCAGATGGAGCTCTGAGCAGGCACATTATCAGTGTTAAATTGCCTTTTCTGAGTAGAGAGGATTAAAGCATTCCTTCAGAAATGAGTGGTATAAGCTGCAAATTTAGGGATAGTAATATTCTGAAATGTTACTATTTTAAAAACATGTGAAAGTATCTTAACAAATGCTGCATAGCAAAAATGAATTATTCTTTCAAGTTGATGGAGCTGAAATTCTTAAAAAAATAACTTTTTTTGAATAAAATAGTCATCCTGTAGTTTGTTCTTAAATATGTGTGGATGTGTGTTCTTACCTTAGATATATTATGTGCCTAAAATTCTAAAATAGATTTTAATATGTATGTAGTCACATTATATGGAACCCAAAATTGTTTGATTTTTAGTTAAAGGACAAAATATGTTTAGACTGAGCTTTGCAAAATAATTAAATTAGCAAAATAACATTTCAGAACAATAGAACTGTATTCCTTTATTTTAATTAATGAAGCATATGTTGACTTATTAAAACAAACTCTCAGATAACATGATGTAAATTGTTTGCTCCAAGTCTTGGAGGTAAAAGATAATGCAGTACTGCATTATTATTTAATTCCAAAATTAAACAAAGCTTTCAATTTGCCTAAACAATTGGTGCCTAAGTATCAGATTACAATACTAAGAAAGAAAGCATCAGTGTGACATGCAGAGATTTAGTGACACACCTCCTGTTTCATACTAATGAGCTGCAGTGAATGTCAGTGTTTCATTCAGAATTAACCTCTAAGGCTTTTATTAACTCACTTATATATAAAGGTCAGTGCTTCCATTATAATTTAGATGGTTTTCATACTTAGGTACTTGATGGCATATCTGTTGTACTGCCTGTTTGTTTAGAGCAAAACAAAAGCCCTGCCAACCTGTGTACGTCTTCTCAAATTTGCACATAAATTCCCTTCTTGTCAAGGAGTTATGTGTGCCTACAGAAAAAAAGCCTCAGAATTAACTTTTTTTTATTCTTGAATCACAACTGTAGCAGCTCTCTTAATACAATATTTGATAATCAAACTACTTAAAATAACGTATGGCAGTATCTTGGTGAGTTTTGTTTTATTCCAAGTCAGATGTTGGCAGTATCTCACACTAAAGATTGATTCACGTTGTTCTTTTATTTAGTGTACCCTGGGAGTTTGCGGTCACTTTTGTGTTCCTAGAAGCCTGGATAATGCTGTTCCATTCAACACTGTTATGTTTTTCTTTTAGAACAAACTTGGAGCTTGAACTGGTCCATCGAGGAGGCAATTTATGTTCAGGAGGTGCAAGCACAGCTGGGAAAAGATCATGTTTAAGTAAGTTTTATGTTATGAAGTACAATGTGAATTATTAGAATATTGAATAAAGATGTCTATTTTTTTCTAACATTGTCTAAATTATGTCAGCTTTTTTAAGAGCCTTCTTTCTGCCATAATGAGTCTTTGTTTTTGTTGCAATTTGAGAAATCTGAAATCTAATTTGCACAAACTATTCATTAGAGCTCTTCATGCGTTGTGAGTATGATCTATTTAGATATCAATTATCATAGTATCCATGTAGTATTTTTAATAATTTCACATTTTCATGAGTAAAATTAGAAGTATTTTAGGGGTAAAGCAGGAAAGCTTTGTTTCACCCTGGCTATCGCTAGCACTAGTAAAAACATTTGTTTCTCTGAGTGCTAGTTTAGCTCATGACTAGATCTTATACTTAGAAATCTGCAGCTACCCTGTCCCATGTCTTTAATTTCCTTAGTTCTTTCTCTGACAGGAGAGTTTTGCAAATTTTCTTTGGTAGAAACTCTCAAATCTTCATTGTTCTGAAGCCATTAATGTTTGACAAATAAAGCATTTCTGGTTGACAGGTATGCTTTTTCCTTAACATAAAATCTTTCTATCTTTTACTGGAATGGGAACTGTTAAGA